AACTGGTATGTACAAGACGCCTTAATCCACTTGACCATCACAACCGGACATAATGAGGTGATAGCCGAGGCTATTTGAACCACCCCACCGCCGGCACTCGGATAGTAATCTTGGGCATAGCATTTTACCAAATCACCTCATTCTTTGGGGCACACGTGAGGAACACAAATGCGAACAAGCCTGAATGGTCCCCAGGACAATATGCAACTGAAAACTCACACCCCAGAAGTGACTCGAACCCATACTCCCAGAAGCAACGCAACTGGTATGTACAAGACGCCTTAATCCACTTGAAAATCACGACCGGACATAATGAGGTGATAGCCGAGGCTATTTGAACCACCCCACCGCCGGCACTCGGATAGTAATCTTGGGCATAGCATTTTACCAAATCACCTCATTCTTTGGGGCACACGTGAGGAACACAAATGCGAACAAGCCTGAATGGTCCCCAGGACAATATGCAACTGAAAACTCACACCCCAGAAGTGACTCGAACCCATACTCCCAGAAGCAACGCAACTGGTATGTACAAGACGTCTTAATCCACTTGACCATCACGACCGGACATAATGAGGTGATAGCCGAGGCTATTTGAACCACCCCACCGCCGGCACTCGGATAGTAATCTTGGGCATAGCATTTTACCAAATCACCTCATTCTTTGGGGCACACGTGAGGAACACAAATGCGAACAAGCCTGAATGGTCCCCAGGACAATATGCAACTGAAAACTCACACCCCAGAAGTGACTCGAACCCATACTCCCAGAAGCAACGCAACTGGTATGTACAAGACGCCTTAATCCACTTGACCATCACGACCGGACATAATGAGGTGATAGCCGAGGCTATTTGAACCACCCCACCGCCGGCACTCAGATAGTAATCTTGGGCATAGCATTTTACCAAATCACCTCATTCTTTGGGGCACACGTGAGGAACACAAATGCGAACAAGCCTGAATGGTCCCCAGGACAATATGCAACTGAAAACTCACACCCCAGAAGTGACTCGAACCCATACTCCCAGAAGCAACGCAACTGGTATGTACAAGACGCCTTAATCCACTTGACCATCACGACCGGACATAATGAGGTGATAGCCGAGGCTATTTGAACCACCCCACCGCCGGCACTCGGATAGTAATCTTGGGCACAGCATTTTACCAAATCACCTCATTCTTTGGGGCACACGTGAGGAACACAAATGCGAACAAGCCTGAATGGTCCCCAGGACAATATGCAACTGAAAACTCACACCCCAGAAGTGACTCGAACCCATACTCCCAGAAGCAACGCAACTGGTATGTACAAGACGCCTTAATCCACTTGACCATCACGACCGGACATAATGAGGTGATAGCCGAGGCTATTTGAACCACCCCACCGCCGGCACTCGGATAGTAATCTTGGGCATAGCATTTTACCAAATCACCTCATTCTTTGGGGCACACGTGAGGAACACAAATGCGAACAAGCCTGAATGGTCCCCAGGACAATATGCAACTGAAAACTCACACCCCAGAAGTGACTCGAACCCACACTCCCAGAAGCAACGCAACTGGTATGTACAAGACGCCTTAATCCACTTGACCATCACGACCGGACATAATGAGGTGATAGCCGAGGCTATTTGAACCACCCCACCGCCGGCACTCGGATAGTAATCTTGGGCATAGCATTTTACCAAATCACCTCATTCTTTGGGGCACACGTGAGGAACACAAATGCGAACAAGCCTGAATGGTCCCCAGGACAATATGCAACTGAAAACTCACACCCCAGAAGTGACTCGAACCCATACTCCCAGAAGCAACGCAACTGGTATGTACAAGACGCCTTAATCCACTTGACCATCACGACCGGACATAATGAGGTGATAGCCGAGGCTATTTGAACCACCCCACCGCCGGCACTCGGATAGTAATCTTGGGCATAGCATTTTTACCAAATCACCTCATTCTTTGGGGCACACGTGAGGAACACAAATGCGAACAAGCCTGAATGGTCCCCAGACAATATGCAACTGAAAACTCACACCCCAGAAGTGACTCGAACCCACACTCCCCCACCCCACCGCCGGCACTCGGATAGTAATCTTGGGCATAGCATTTTACCAAATCACCTCATTCTTTGGGGCACACGTGAGGAACACAAATGCGAACAAGCCTGAATGGTCCCCAGGACAATATGCAACTGAAAACTCACACCCCAGAAGTGACTCGAACCCATACTCCCAGAAGCAACGCAACTGGTATGTACAAGACGCCTTAATCCACTTGACCATCACGACCGGACATAATGAGGTGATAGCCGAGGCTATTTGAACCACCCCACCGCCGGCACTCGGATAGTAATCTTGGGCATAGCATTTTTACCAAAAATTGTCCTGGGGACCATTCAGGCTTGTTCGCATTTGTGTTCCTCACGTGTGCCCCAAAGAATGAGGTGATTTGGTAAAATGCTATGCCCAAGATTACTATCCGAGTGCCGGCGGTGGGGTGGTTCAAATAGCCTCGGCTATCACCTCATTATGTCCGGTCGTGATGGTCAAGTGGATTAAGGCGTCTTGTACATACCAGTTGCGTTGCTTCTGGGAGTATGGGTTCGAGTCACTTCTGGGGTGTGAGTTTTCAGTTGCATATTGTCCTGGGGACCATTCAGGCTTGTTCGCATTTGTGTTCCTCACGTGTGCCCCAAAGAATGAGGTGATTTGGTAAAATGCTATGCCCAAGATTACTATCCGAGTGCCGGCGGTGGGGTGGTTCAAATAGCCTCGGCTATCACCTCATTATGTCCGGTCGTGATGGTCAAGTGGATTAAGGCATCTTGTACATACCAGTTGCGTTGCTTCTGGGAGTATGGGTTCGAGTCACTTCTGGGGTGTGAGTTTTCAGTTGCATATTGTCCTGGGGACCATTCAGGCTTGTTCGCATTTGTGTTCCTCACGTGTGCCCCAAAGAATGAGGTGATTTGGTAAAATGCTATGCCCAAGATTACTATCCGAGTGCCGGCGGTGGGGTGGTTCAAATAGCCTCGGCTATCACCTCATTATGTCCGGTCGTGATGGTGAAGTGGATTAAGGCGTCTTGTACATACCAGTTGCGTTGCTTCTGGGAGTATGGGTTCGAGTCACTTCTGGGGTGTGAGTTTTCAGTTGCATATTGTCCTGGGGACCATTCAGGCTTGTTCGCATATATATATATATATATATATATATATATATATATATATATATATATATATATATATATATATATATATATATATATATATTTATATTTTATATATATATATATTTTATATATATATATATATATATATATATATATATATATATATATATATATATATATATATATATATATATATAAATCCTTTGACTATGATCTATAAAGTGACTTCAAGGAATTAAAAGCCCCCACAGTCCCCGTGGTAAAGTATTCGCCCGGCGCTGCGCAAGCACTTTGTCCGGAAAAGATTGTCTTGGCGCCAATCCTTAATTGTAGCCTCATTTTACCCAGCAATGAATGTGTAACTGGGTGTTAAACGATTTGGCGGGTCGTATTCCGGAGAAAATTAGGATTAAGGACCTGCCCGAAACGCTATGCGTGCTAGTGGCTTTCCAACAATGTTGGAATTCTTGTTTATAAAGAGCTATATTTATTTATGAACTCAATAAATAAATAAATAAATAAATAGAAACCCAAAACCTGAAAGATTTTTGGCTTTCCAAAAACCTGAGGCCTTAACTACATTAGGTGTCACTGACTTGCCTACCATGGAAAGTACTGAAGAAGACAATCAGAGATAACACAGTGAACAATCTGTGAACGCCTAACTAAGCAACTATGACACAAGGGAACAGGCTGGTCTAAAAGTGGATTGCATATTCCTAAATATCAAAAGTGAAGAAAAACCTTTAACATTGTTCTTGACAAAAAGGTCACTCACAACGTATAAAAGTAGTCAGGGGTAAACAGGAAGATCCTGGACTATATTAGAGCATGTGACAAGGCGGGACCAATTAGCTGTAAGGTTGGATGAAGTGTCAGATAGGGGAAAGTGACAAGTGGGGTCCCACAGGGCTCAGTATTTGGATCAATAACGCTTCTGATTTATGCAATGACCTTCCGGAAGAACGCTCGCACATGAGCAACACAACAATATCTGCACATGATGTAAAATCGATAAAGCGTGCAAATATGCCTGCAAAGTTCTGCAGAAGGACCAAGGCAGACTGCAGGAATAGACGAAATAATGGGAACTACAATTTAATCCACGAAAGAGTAAATTGTATTAATGGGATTTGGTAGAGGCGAGAGGCGACCAAGAGGACAAGGACAGTACACAAAGAAGGAGGCGAAAGGCAAGTCACACAAATTAAAAAAATTATGAGTGAATATAATTCAAACCTTCACGCCAAAGAGACAAACAGAATTACCTGAGCAATATATGCAAGACTGCCAACATTAGAATGTTATTTAAGAGCGTGAGGAAGGGCTCCTTCAGTCCACTGTACACAACCAGTGTTGTAGCTCGAGCGAGGACACCACAACTCCTATACTACAAGAACACAATTAAGAAAGTCCAATGATATGCCACGAGACACGTGACAAGTAATAAAGATAAGAGAGATGATCTGTGAAGACATGATCACGCTGTATAGGATACTGACGGAAAGAGGCAATGTGGACGAACTAGAAAAATGTAAGGAAATTCTTGTATGTAGTGAGAGTGGTAAACAAGTGCAATACAAAACATCTAGAGGTGATGTAAGCAACCACCATTCACAACTTCAGAGAAAATCTGAGAGAACACTGGAGTACTGGGAGGCATATACATGTACTGGGCCCAAGAGCTACAACCCAGGGACTGCAGAGCTGCACCTCGCTTCCAGTGAGCACAATTAAGAACAATATGGCAGATACTTAGTAAATCTGTTCCTTATATCTGCATTTCTGCCATCTGGAATACAAGACGAGAGGGGGTGACTTACTTGCTCTGGAAGCCCTGGAACATGCCGGTGGAGATGAAGACTGGACACACGACGGTGGTGTGGATGCCGGTGTGGCCGTCAACCTGCACGCTCCGGGACCAACACACAATCAACCACAAGTAATTGTTTGATTGTACATCACACTTATAATTACCACAATAATCATGATACACATAAAATGCATCAACCAGTTAAATTTATAATATTCATTATTGACAAAGACGCTTGGAGGGTTCTGAGTGGCTGTGTGACACAGTAGCCACAGCCACACGGGGGCGACAGCCACACGGGGGCTACAGCCACACGGGGGCCACAGCCACACGGGGGCCACAGCCACACGGGGGCCACAGCCACACGGGGGCCACAGCCACACGGGGACCACAGTCACACGGGGACCACAGTCACACGGGGACCACAGCAACACGGGGGGGCCACAGCAACACGGGGACCACAGCAACACGGGGACCACAGCAACACGGGGGCCACAGCCACACGGGGGCCACAGCCACACGGGGACCACAGCCACACGGGGGCCACAGCCACACGGGGGCCACAGCCACACGGGGACCACAGCCACACGGGGGCCACAGCCACACGGGGGCCACAGCCACACGGGGACCACAGCCACACGGGGACCACAGCCACACGGGGGGCCACAGCCACACGGGGACCACAGCAACACGGGGACCACAGCCACACGGGGGGCCACAGCCACACGGGGACCACAGCCACACGGGGGGCCACAGCCACACGGGGACCACAGTCACACGGGGACCACAGCCACACGGGGGCCACAGCCACACGGGGGGCCACAGCCACACGGGGACCACAGTCACACGGGGGGCCACAGCCACACGGGGGCCACAGCCACACGGGGACCACAGTCACACGGGGACCACAGCAACACGGGGGGCCACAGCAACACGGGGACCACAGCAACACGGGGGCCACAGCAACACGGGGGGCCACAGCCACACGGGGACCACAGTCACACGGGGACCACAGCCACACGGGGACCACAGTCACACGGGGACCACAGTCACACGGGGACCACAGCAACACGGGGGGCCACAGCAACACGGGGACCACAGCAACACGGGGACCACAGCCACACGGGGGGCCACAGCCACACGGGGACCACAGTCACACGGGGACCACAGCCACACGGGGACCACAGTCACACGGGGACCACAGTCACACGGGGACCACAGCCACACGGGGACCACAGTCACACGGGGACCACAGTCACACGGGGACCACAGCAACACGGGGGGCCACAGTCACACGGGACCACAGCAACACGGGGACCACAGTCACACGGGGGGCCACAGCCACACGGGGGCCACAGCCACACGGGGACCACAGCCACACGGGGGCCACAGCCACACGGGGGCCACAGCAACACGGGGGCCACAGCCACACGGGGGCCACAGCCACACGGGGGGCCACAGCCACACGGGGACCACAGTCACACGGGGGGCCACAGTCACACGGGGGCCACAGCCATACGGGGGCCACAGCCACACGGGGACCACAGCCATACGGGGGCCACAGCCACACGGGGACCACAGCCACACGGGGACCACAGCCACACGGGGGCCACAGCCACACGGGGACCACAGCCACACGGGGACCACAGCAACACGGGGGCCACAGCCACACGGGGCCCACAGCCACACGGGTGTCACAGCCACACGGGGGCCACAGCCACACATGGGCCACAGCTACACGAGGCCCTACTAGTGAAGCACAACTCACCCTCAGTTCATAGCGAAGGGTCTCATCGAAGCCCACCGCGGCGAACTTGGAGGAGCAGTAGTCGACGAGCCGGTTGCAGGGGACCTTGCCGGCCATGGAGGCGATGGTGACGATGTGGCCCTTGCCCCTGGCCATCATGTCTCCCAGGAACGCCTTGGTTGTCTGCCCTCCGACACAGTCACGATTAGTAACAGATTTTATATGCTTATAAAATATGCACAGCTGCGTATTTTATATGCAGCTGTGTCTGTCACGAACAACACAGCTGCAACAACATTCATTCTGATCTCTTCCTCAGTCACGCGATCTCTGAAAATAGTTGAGAATTAAAGTTGGTTGTCGGTCATGGCAATGTTGTGATGTTGATTGTGATCCATAGTGGTAGTGAGTCTCTATGTACCTTTGTTCTGTGCTACAGCTCATGGCTAGGATTATTCACACTATATATGCACTTTGTGTACCGTCACACTACCGCTCAGACCAGAGGTACACTGTACCGTCAAACTACCACTCAGACCATAGGTACAGTGTATTGTCACACTACCGCTCAGACCAGAGGTACAGTGTACCGTTACACTACCACTCAGACCAGTGGTACAGTGTACCGGTGAACACTGATAGGTGAACACTGATAGGTGAACACTGATAGGTGAACACTGACAGGTGAGCATTGATATGTGAACAATGATATGTGAACAATGATAGGTGAACAATGATAGGTGAACACTGACAGGCGAACACTGACAGGTGAACACTGACAGGCGAACACTGACAGGCGAACACTGACAGGCGAACACTGACAGGCGAACACTGACAGGTGAACACTGACAGGTGAACACTGACAGGTGAACACTGACAGGTGAACACTGACAGGCGAACACTGACAGGCGAACACTGACAGGTGAACACTGACAGGTGAACACTGACAGGTGAACACTGACAGGTGAACACTGACAGGCGAACACTGACAGGTGAACACTGACAGGCGAACACTGACAGGCGAACACTGACAGGCGAACACTGACAGGCGAACACTGACAGGTGAACACTGACAGGTGAACACTGACAGGTGAACACTGACAGGTGAACACTGACAGGTGAACACTGACAGGCGAACACTGACAGGTGAACACTGACAGGTGAACACTGACAGGTGAACACTGACAGGCGAACACTGACAGGTGAACACTGACAGGTGAACACTGACAGGCGAACACTGACAGGTGAACACTGACAGGCGAACACTGACAGGCGAACACTGACAGGCGAACACTGACAGGCGAACACTGACAGGTGAACACTGACAGGTGAACACTGACAGGTGAACACTGACAGGTGAACACTGACAGGCGAACACTGACAGATAAACACGCAGCAACACCTTTTACCCTTATTTCAATCAACGTTATCTTGGTTTCTACTCTTAGGTTCAGTATTTTAGTCCATCTGGGAGCTCGTGTTATGACTCGCATTGCATCATTTTGAATAACCTCAACGTTTACCCACTGGCCAGGAGAAAGAGTGAGTAAGGCAGGCGCTGCATAATCAACTTGGGAACGAACGGCGTGTATGTAAAACATTCTTAACACTTTGTGTCCCGCTCCTAGATGGGGCTCCTGTCATTGCTCTCATTATATTCAGTTGTGATTTTGCTTTCTCCTTCAGATATTGAATTTGCTTGTGGAATGTAATTTTAGAATTTATCCATACTCCGAAATATTGATATTGTGTCCCCCCACTGAAGGTTAATGTCCCAGAGAGTTAGTGATAATCAGGTACCCTGAGGGAGTGTAGGGGTCGAGGTGAGATAACAAACAGTAGTAGTGAGGTACCCTGAGGGAGTGTAGAGTCAGGCTGAGATAGTGGCCAGAAGATAATGAAGAGGGGTAACCAGGAGAGACTTGGTGACCTCTCAACCCCCACTCACTGCTCTGCCTCCTTATCTTGACACCAGATAACCTCCTTATCATCTTATCATCAGCTAGTGAGTAATTAAACGTATTGGGACATTGTTTCTTGGAAGGAACATTTAGAGACTCATCATTAAAAGTAACTCGTTTCCCATTTTTTGTTGTGTAAGGAACTTTGATAATAAATTTGTATTAAATAAATGTTATTTGTGTTTTGATGAGAGATTGTTTTGTTATTTTGTGGTAAAAGAATCACAGGTTCATGTATGGTGGACGCGGGTCGTCCTTAGACGAGGAAGCAGCGATACACGAGGTGGTGCAAGTGGGGCATATATCTAGTTGAGGACCTACTGATGGACGGTCCCAGTATTGATACACAAGAGGAGTAATCATTAAGGAGGAGACTTGTGGGTCAACCAGTGAAGCTGATCTTCACGACGAAATAGAGAGGGTTGAGTGGCGTCGATATATGTGTGTGAGAGGTGGATGGGTTCATGCAGTATGTCTGACATAATGAAAGGTGAGAGCGTTGACATTTTTTGGGTGTATTAATCTACATGTGTAAATAATGAAAGAATTCGTGTGAAACTAGATAGCTGTTCAAAACCTTCAAAAGGTTTTGAATTTAAAAATAATTTGTCTTGTTTATTCCAGCTTATAGTGTTTATTCCTTCATTTGTTAAGTACAGTATTGCTATTTTATATTACTCTTTTTCCATTTACATTGTTTTAATTTTTAATGTTGCTGTTTTTATAAATCTTAATTTTACTGTAATGTATAAATTTTTTTTACACAGTTAGATTTACAACAGATTTAGTATTTTAATGTTCTGTTATCGCTTACTTTATTGTATCATGACTACATTATATCTACATACAAGCTGATATTGACCCTGAATTAAATCTGCTGTTATAAATCTACAATAATGAGCATATTGATCATCACTACTGCAGGTAGTACACAGCAAACCTTGCAAAAAAAAATAATAAACTCCAAAATAACATTTCCCTGTCAATATTCAACCTAAAGGTCAGGTCACTTGGTAAACATTTTGATGATATAAATGTCAGGTCACTTGGTAAACATTTTGATGATATAAATGTCAGGTCACTTGGTAAACATTTTGATGATATAAATGTCAGGTCACTTGGTAAACATTTTGATGATATAAATGTCAGGTCACTTGGTAAACATTTTGATGATATAAATGTCAGGTCACTTGGTAAACATTTTGATGATATAAATGTCAGGTCACTTGGTAAACATTTTGATGATATAAATGTCAGGTCACTTGGTAAACATTTTGATGATATAAATGTCAGGTCACTTGGTAAACATTTTGATGATATAAATGCACTACTCACAAGACTAGGTACTAAACTATCGTTCATTATTTTAACAGAAACAAGGCTAAGTAAAGACCATACCCAACTCTACAAATTAGCTGGTTATAAAGCCATTCACAACTGTAGGCCAAATAAAAAAGGAGGTGGCACAGCCATCTATTACCAAAATACATTCACTTGCAATAGTGTCATTAGTGATAGAGACGACTACTGTGGATATACCTTTGCTCAATTCTCGATTAAATTCCTTAAATCCTCTCTGACTATTGGAGCTATCTTTAGATTTCCAAATACTAACACAATGGCATCCACAGATAACCTAAGAAATCTAATCATAAACAACAAGCTCAACACAAATCACATCATTCTAGGAAGTGACTTCAATATTGATCTAGGTCAACAAAATAGCCCTCAAGTCGTCTATTCTATAAACAACATGAACTCCTGTATGCTAATCCCCACAATATCCAAGCGCACCCGAATTGATCAAACATCTGCCACTACCTTGGACCACATATGGACTAACATAACAGCTCTCATTGCATGTGGTATAATCACTGACAGAACAACTGACCACTCTCCTACCTTCCTCATAGCAAACATGGACCTAACACCATCGGATACCAAGAAACTTACCTTCAGGTTACACAGCAAAGCAGCAACAGGCAATCTCATAAATGCACTTCACAATATAAACTGGGAATCTGAATTCAGTAATACACAGAATATAAATTCATTACCCAATATCTTCCTTTCCAAAACTCTAAGCCTCTACAACACACACACACTGTCCTCTCCTCACCAAACAAGTAACTACCAAAAGATTAAACAACCCCTGGTTCACAAGTGGCATTCTCAAAGCGATCAACAAGAAACATTAATATGAACAAAAACATAGGATTAGCCTAGTTACAAAAGAAGTGGTTAAGAGATACTAATCAGTATTTACTAGTATACTAAGAAGAGCGAAACTTTACTATTATGAGAGTAGATTCAAAGACACATGCAAAAGACTTACTACATCTTATTTGGAAGTAAATCATCAAATTAAGTTCAACTTCAGCTGGACAATGTTAACATAAGCAATAAAAATGATGGAAAGTTCCTTGGCCTATATATAGATAAGAGACTCAACTTCAGTACCAACATACAATGCAGCCAAAAAAGTAAAATAACGGTCGGTATACTCTCTAAAATCAGATATTATGTTCCCCACTCTGCTCTCCTCTAATTATACTACACTAATAAAAGAGTCTATGACACTAATCTATCCCTATCTTACATACGGTATCTGTGCATGTGGTTCAACCACTGCAAATTACCTCAACCCCATCATCACCCAGCAAAAATCTCCTATCAGAACAATAACTCAATCTATTTTCAGACAACATACAGCCCTTCTTTTTAAATCCTTAAATATGTTAAAAATATACTCAATCCACACACTCTCCTGTGTTACTTACATGTACAAAACCTTGTTCCTAAATGCAAATCCTGATCTGAAACTCTTCCGTGACAGATGTAATGGAACCCATAATCAAAACACCAGAAATAAATATATCTTTGATATCCCCAGTCAAATTAAATCTGTGTAAACACTCTATGCAAATAGAGACGTGGTCTATGGAACTCACTCCTTAACGAATTAAAAAGCTGTCCAACTTGTGCCTTATTCAGAAGTAAAACAAAAAGTACCTACTTTCATCCTCATAGTTTCCTACCCAGTGGTTCAAACCTGCACTGTATCTTGTGTTACCCACTCCCCCAGTATAGGTGCCTAAGACATGGAACTTCACCATTGTAATCACTGCTATCAATTTATATCGTAGTTGTTATGTTGAGCGCAAATTATGCTTCAATGTACCTGTTGATAATCCTCAAATTTTATTACAATGTACCTATTATTATTATTACAATTTTCTTACAATGTAGGTAACTTTGAAGTGTTTTCGGGGCTTAGCTTCCCCGCGGCCCGGTCCTCGACCAAGCCTCCCAGACCATGTACCTGTTAATATTCTTCAAATTTTGCTGCAAACTACCTAATTAAAATTATCTTTTTATATTAAAGATCGGATCGAAACGCTATGCGTGTTAGTGGCTTTGCAAGAATGTAAAAACATCAATGCTCTGTACTCTCATAAACCCAATATACCTTCTTGTACAGTATATATAAATAAATATAAAATTGTACAAAGCCTAGCCCAGACGTCGAGGTGACTGATGCACAATGTGTTGCAGAAGAGGTACAAACAGCAGTCTAGCAGAGACAATTAAACTGAGTAACACATCATATGAAAGTGTGGCGCAATTATTTTCGAACCAATACATGGTTAATAGAACCAATTTTGTAGAACCAATAATAATACTTTATTACTTGTATTCTCTTAATGTTTGTAATAAATGTTTGTCTGTTAGTACAACTGTTTTTGTGCTTGTCCTTGTGAGAGTTTCTAAGAAGAGTGAGAGAAATAGTTGCAGGCGGGACGACAGCATAAAGAAAACCAAGGGGAACCAGGAGGAGGTCAGCCTAAGACTAGCAGAGAGAGAGAGTAAATCATTGTTGCTCAGCCACGGTGTGAACACATGACGATAGCCCAGTTCTGAGCCTAGTTTGTTTGGCGTTAAACCCCTTCTTCATATATAGGTTCAATACCCGGTGACTCCAGAGTGTGCGCCGCTGATGCGCTCGTGTTAGTAGAGGTGAAGAGTAGAGTTGGTTAGTTTTATTTAACTTTATCAGTGGCTCCCTGATAAGATAAAAGCCTAGGATAAGTAGTTAACATCTGATGAATTATTAGGGGCCCCTTGATACCACACTACAAAGGTCACCATAAACAACGGCCACACATTAAGGACACAGTATGTAATGGCCACACCTTAAGAGGAGCACCATATATAACGGCCACACCTTAAGAGGAGCACAAAATATAACGGCCACACCTCAAGGACACTATATACAGTGACGACACTTTAAGAAGGACACGACAGTGGCCACACCTTAAGAAGGACACTATATACAGTGGTGACACCTTAAGAAGGACACCATATACAGTGGTGACACCTTAAGAAGGACACTATACACAGTGACGACACTTTAAGAAGGACACTATATACAGTGGTGACACCTTAAGAAGGACACCATATACAGTGGTGACACCTTAAGAAGGACACCATATACAGTGGCCACACTTTAAGAAAGACACTATACACAGTGACGACACCTTAAGAAGAACACTATACACAGTGACGACACCTTAAGAAGGCCACTATATACAGTGGCGACACCTTAAGAAGAACACTATACACAGTGGCGACACCTTAAGAAGAACACTCTACACAGTGACGACACCTTAAGAAGAACACTATACACAGTGACGACACCTTAAGAAGAACACTATATACAGTGGCGACACCTTAAGAAGGACACTATACACAGTGACGACACCTTAAGAAGAACACTATACACAGTGGTGACACCTTAAGAAGGACACTATACACAGTGACGAGACCTTAAGAAGGACACCATACACAAAGGCCAGCGCCACTACTCACCCAGAAGTGACTCATAATATTGACGTCGAAGGTCCTGATGATGTTCTCGTCTGGGCAGTCAAGGAGTCTCTTGCCGGTGACCACCCCGGCGTTGTTTACCAGGATGTCCACCTGCGGGAGGGTCGTGGTGCCCGTTAGTCACCACTCCACCAGCTCTCCGTCACCAGTCATCAAGAATCTTCATAACCACTTACGAAACCTGTACATCCTTCCTTGATTATGGCGGGTTTGTTTACATTTATTAAACGGTTAACGAATTTGGAAATTTCACAACCCAAAGGTTTTATTCTGACAGACAACCTCTTAGAGCTTCGGAGCTCACACACTGCTTAATGGCGCCATGATTCATGAAAGATGTACAGGTTTTGTAAGTGTAATAATAATTATTATATTTATTTAGAAAAAGTACTTACATACAAAATGGGATACAAGACGAATGTTGGATTTCTAGGTAGAGTAAGTATAGACTCTGATAAAGACTTAAAACTAATTGAGATTGTAAGTTAAAATGTTCTGAAGTAGAAAAATACAAAAATGACAATAATTGCAACCAAGCGTTTCGTTGACATGCGTGGTCCGCTTCGCATGTCAACCAGTTTAAGAGAAAACTATGTACTACTTATTCAACTCCATGTAACCTACCTTACCTCCTAAATGTCAATCAATGTCTTGCTATTTTCAAACATTAAGGTGATTAATGATTAACCTGTAATGATTAAATTATATAACTGCTGTTATCTGCCAAGTATAAATTGAAAAAAAAATTGTAGTCCATCTATTTATTTAGTTAAAATTACTATCTGCTGTTCCATTCATGTAATTCTTGTCCTTCATATTTTCTACTTCAGTTCAGTTCATGCTTTTGATGTCAATTTGTTTAAAGTCTTACTTATTTAAGTTTTTTCCACACGGCCAAAACTCTGCACTTATTAGTGGCTTTAGGCTAGTATATACCAGCTATATCTAGTTATCCAAAATTCTTCTTGTAACTCATTTTGCATGTATGCACTCTTACCTGAATAATTAATAATAATAATAATAATAATAATAATAATAATAATAATTATTATTATTATTATTATTAAAACTAGGATACAGATGATAAATAAAGGATTCAATATATTGGCAAAAATAATTGAGAGCAGAACAAAGTGAAAGTTTTATAACTTAAAATGAACTACACCGCACAAGCTGGGGAGTATAGTACGTGAGATGAGTAGTTAAGGTAAGCTACACTGACCTTGCCGACCTCCTGCTTGACCTTAGCGGCGGTGGCGTAGATGGCGTGCCTGCTGCACAGGTCGACGGTGTAGGCCCGACACTGTCCGCCCAGCTCCACCACCTGACGCACTGTCTCCGCGTTACCTGTCACCACAGGCAACTGTTACTGTCTACTGGGGCAACCTGCTCTCGTACAAGATAGCAGATATATGACTTATTGGTTATAGTCATTATTTCGCTTATAAATAAGTACACATGTGACATATTCCAAGCCATATTTTTTTCAAGGCACTAACTTTTTCTCTCAGTTTTATTAAACAATAGAGATTTTATACAAAATTTGACAATATCCTGAGTTACTTTACAATTTATTTAAATATTTTAGTTTTGTTTTATTATTTTTATAAAACTGTAATATCAATATAAGTATAGGTTAAGTACTAATTGTAATATCTTAACATACTAAGAAGGTTAGGTTAGGTTGTGGTTTTCAATTCAGCTTTTCAAGGTAAACTCAAATATTCAATAAATTAGTATGTCACATATGCACTTATTCATAAGCAAGATATTAACTATAAGCAAGTGCGAGAACGGGGTTGACTGGGGGATGCACAGCTTTATGGAAATAGAGGGGGGGACCTTGGTGGACGTCCGTGGGGGGGGGACCTTGGTGACGTCCGTGGGGGGGGGGGACCTTGGTGACGTCCGTGGGGGGGGACCTTGGTGGACGTCCGTGGGGGGGGGGGACCTTGGTGACGTCCGTGGGGGGGGGAACCTTGGTGACGTCCGTAGGGGGGGGACCTTGGTGACGTCCGTGGGGGGGGACCTTGGTGACGTCCGTGGGGGGGACCTTGGTGACGTCCGTGGGGGGGGGACCTTGGTGACGTCCGTGGGGGGGGACCTTGGTGGACGTCCGTGGGGGGGGACCTTGGTGACGTCCGTGGGGGGGGGGACCTTGGTGACGTCCGTGGGGGGGACCTTGGTGGACGTCCGTGGGGGGGGACCTTGGTGACGTCCGTGGGGGGGACCTTGGTGACGTCCGTGGGGGGGGGACCTTGGTGACGTCCGTGGGGGGGGACCTTGGTGACGTCCGTGGGGGGGGGGGACCTTGGTGACGTCCGTGGGGGGGGGACCTTGGTGACGTCCGTGGGGGGGACCTTGGTGACGTCCGTGGGGGGGACCTTGGTGGACGTCCGTGGGGGGGGACCTTGGTGGACGTCCGTGGGGGGGGACCTTGGTGACGTCCGTGGGGGGGGACCTTGGTGACGTCCGTGGGGGGGGACCTTGGTGACGTCCGTGGGGGGGGACCTTGGTGACGTCCGTGGGGGGGGACCTTGGTGACGTCCGTGGGGGGGGACCTTGGTGACGTCCGTGGGGGGGACCTTGGTGGACGTCCGTGGGGGGGGGACCTTGGTGGACGTCCGTGGGGGGGGACCTTGGTGACGTCCGTGGGGGGAGACCTTGGTGACGTCCGTGGGGGGGGGGACCTTGGTGACGTCCGTGGGGGGGGACCTTGGTGGACGTCCGTGGGGGGGGACCTTGGTGGACGTCCGTGGGGGGGGACCTTGGTGACGTCCGTGGGGGGAGACCTTGGTGACGTCCGTGGGGGGGGACCTTGGTGACGTCCGTGGGGGGGGACCTTGGTGGACGTCCGTGGGGGGGGGACCTTGGTGGACGTCCGTGGGGGGGGGACCTTGGTGGACGTCCGTAGGGGGGGGACCTTGGTGACGTCCGTGGGGGGGGGGACCTTGGTGGACGTCCGTGGGGGGGGGACCTTGGTGACGTCCGTGGGGGGGGGGGACCTTGGTGGACGTCCGTGGGGGGGGGGACCTTGGTGACGTCCGTGGGGGGGGACCTTGGTGGACGTCCGTGGGGGGGTGGGGTTACCAGCAACTGCTCCTCACTATACCCTGAGCAACATTGGTGGTCACCACGTGGTAAGTTTTTCAGCCATATCTTAATAAAAAATGGTGAGTGCTGTCTCCTATGTTACTCCTCTGAGCATTATGGAGGTAGTGATCATGTCTCCCCGAGCTGATCGCGGTGTGATTCCTTCCCAAGTTTCGGACAAGGAACTCGGCAATCACACTATAGAATTGATCCTATGAGGTATAATCACGCTGGGGCGTGGGGCAAAAAAGACATGAATAATAATTACAAAAAAAAATACTAAGACGATTATCGTAAGTTGTCGAGTTCCTCCAGCTCCTCAGATGGCGGGCAGGAACCCTGAATGCAGTGTACATTTCTGCTCTATATTGCCATACTGAGGCGCTGGAAAAGGAAGCTGGCAGCTCTAGGTTCTTGTTGTTTCAACTAGCCTAGAACCCAGTTCCTTCAAAAAAATAGTGGCACTCTTACCCCAGGCGCCGAGTGTCTCAGAACCAATGGGGACAAAATTGTAGTGGTGATCCAGTTCACTGTACTTACGGGATTTGGCTGATTCCCTGTGAGTGGCAACGCCACCTACAGGGAATCAGTTGTGCAACACTGAAGGCAATATAGGTATTAGCCAGAGTTGTTACGCACGTGAAGTCCCAAACTAACTGCTTGCCATTCTTCCAGGGGTTCACATTGATACCATCTGAGTAATCAATAAGATCAACAGAGTTACGGAGTGTTAGGTAACGGGGCTCTCTCTCAGCTGGGCATCCAGCTGTGGTGAGGCTCCTCTTGATGATGTCATTAACTTCACTCTGCCTTGATTGCCATTCCCCTGTGCTTTGGCAGAGTAGGCCATGTTGGCCATACCTGTCAGCCTCCACCTCGCCGCAAATACACCTATATCTGGTGTGGATTGGGGCAGCAAAGCAGAGGGCCACAGCAATTCTGTGGGCATGTGGTGAGACGTGTGCCAGCTGCCGACATTGGGGGTTGCTAGCAGAAAGTCCCTTGCATGTGGTGCTGCTACTGCTGTGATGCAAGCAATGTCATGCTGCGTTGTTGCAGCAACCAGGCACTCTGCAGCAACTTGGTCTACAATGGGGCCATCCCAGTTAGATTGCTTGTGGGCTTTTGAGGGTGGTGGTTGAGGTGATGGGCCTGCACGAAAGGCCCACTTGGTGACACAGCGTACAAAATTGGGATCGTGTAAGCCTGCCAGCTGATGTAGGTAGCAGGTAGAATTTCCTTCACAAGGTCGTCGGATGCCGAGGAGGACAGGAAGGCTGGTACAGCGATTTGCATTGCTGTTCGAACTCCGAGGTCCCCCAGCTCTTACGGGACGAGAGGCTTGTTTACTCTGTAGGTCATTGAGAGAGAGGTTGAGGACTTTATCTAGCATTGATTTCAGCAGCAGGTCATACTCACCTAGGTTTTGGCTACTGTAGGATAGTGAACACCTCAGAAAGTGGGTTAACCTGGGGAGGGACAGACATCTGGTGATGAGTGATGAAATGATATCATCTAGTGATGATAAAGTGCATCATGAGCATCAATATCCTCATTCCTCCCATCCATCCTCTTAAGGTTGGCGATTTTCTTATCAAGGACCTCATCGATGGCTTTTAACCCTAAGGGGTGCTCCTAGGAGTGTGCTGTCTTCAGGTTTAGTTATATGGATATTTGGCAGAACACCCTCTATTCTCCCTATGATGCCCTGGTTGGAACATATTATTTCACAATTAAAAGAGTTCAGGGTGAGGTCTAAAGTTGCACCTTGCTCCTGGATTTTTCTGATGTCCTCCAGAAGGGAGTCTTGGGAACCAGCTAGGAACCATCATCTAAGAACCAGATGTTAAGCTCACTGGACATGACCTCTGTGACTTGTTTGATGACTATGCAGTAAAGGAGAGGAGCAAAGGGGTCACCCTGTTGGACACCTTCTCACGATTCAATTTCATATTCGCCAAAAAGAGCTTTAGATCCACCCTCCATTTAGATGGAGGCTGTGGAGATGTGGCTGTGTAGTGGCGGGTGAGGTGGCTGTATAGTGGAGGGTGAGGTGACTGTGTTGTGGAGGGTGAGGTGGCTGTGTAGTGGAGGGTGAGGCGGCTGTGTTGTGGAGGGTGAGGTGGCTGTATAGTGGAGGGTGAGGTGACTGTGTTGTGGAGGGTGAGGTGACTGTATAGTGGAGGGTGAGGCGGCTGTGATGGTTACCTTCCTCATTGACGTCCCAGGTGACGACGATGGCGCCTCTCCGCGCCAGTTTCAGACACATGAGTCGACCGATGCCAGAGCCGCCGCCCGTCACCAGGGCGATGTGGCCCTTGATGTTCTTCCTGCGGTATCTGCGAGGTATGAAGGTCAGTACCAGGGCCTCGAGCACGCAGTACACCGTGTACACCAAGCCCACCAACACTCGCAGTACCAATATTCCAATGTCCTTGCCGTCAGCCATTGTTGTTCGCAGAAGATGAGCGCTGCCTCAACACACGTCCTGGTCCTCCTGCGCTGATGTTGACAGTTTCTGCCCTGTAAGCTGTAAATGATTCACATATTAGAAAATTAATTTATAGTTACACATATTTCTTCATGAAAATGGTTATGTGTATAATAAGGAAATAGAACCCCTGGAAGAGAGGCTGTGGTGCCGGGAACCCAGCCTCCACACCCTGGAAGAGGAGAAGAACGTGAAGCAGGAAGTCCAGACACACACACACACACAGTGTGTGTGTGTGTGTGTGATTTAGCTGTATGCCACCAGACTTGTCTCGGAACTGAGAGGTATGAGCTACGAGGAAAGGCTGAAGAAGCTGAACCCCATGTCCCTGGAAAACAGAAGAGTAAGGGGAGACATGATAACCACCTACAAAATTATCAGGGGAATTGACAGGGTGGACAAAGACAAACTCTTCAGCACGGGTGGGACACGAACAAGGGGACACAGGTGGAAACTGAGTACCTAAATGAGCCACAGAGATATTAGAAAGAATTTTTTCAGTGTCAGAGTAGTTAGTAAATGGAATGCACTAGGAAGTGTTGTGGTGGAGGCTGACTCCATACACAGTTTCAAATGTAGATATGATAGAGCCCAGTAGGCTCAAGAATTTGCACACCAGTTGATTGACAGTTGAAAGGCGGGACCAAAGAGCCAAAGCCCAATCCCCGCAAGCACAAATAGGTGAGTACAAGTTGGCGAGTACAGCTGGCTGCCATCATATCTAAAGATAAATACGAAAGATCAATGAATAATTGTGCTTGATTATCCTGCTATCGTTGCTCGCACACCAATAACTGTCTTCTAATGAAGGACAATATTGTTAATACTCCTAAGATAACTCGTAAGGGAAAAATCAACTCGTGATGATTAAACAATACACACTGATCATGACTGAACAATACACTGATCATGACTGAACAATACACTGATCATGACTGAACAATACACTGATCATGACTGAACAATACACTGATCATGACTGAACAATACACTGATCATGACTGAACAATACACTGATCATGACTGAACAATACACTGATCATGACTGAACAATACACTGATCATGACTGAACAATACACTGATCATGTTTGTGTACTGTCCCTTTGGTCTCGTATCACCTATTCTCATTTCCATAACTTTATATGTGCTCGTGTTGAACTCCAGTAGCCGTTTCTCTGACCATCTCTGCAACCTGATTAGGTCCTCTTGGAGGATCCAGCAATCCTCATCTGTCACAACTCTTCTCATCAACTTTGCGTCATCCGCTAACATCAACATGTAGGACTCTACTCCTGTAAACATGTCGTTAACGTATATTAGAAATAAAACTAGTCCCAGCACCGATCCTTGAGGTACTCCACTTGTTACTGTTCGCCAGCCCGACTTCTCGCCCCTTAACGTTACTCTCTGGCTCCTTCCTGTTAGGTAGTTCCTCACCCATGCTAGGGCCTTTCCGCTTACTCCTGCCTGCCTCTCAAGTTTGTATAGCAGTCTCATGTGCGGTACCGTATCAAAGACTTTTTGGCAGCCCAGAAATATGCAGTCTGCCCAGCCTTCACATTCACACATGTATGTGTGTATGTATATTCACCTAATTGTACTCACCTAATTGTGCTTGCAAGGGTTGAGCTCTGGCTCTTTGGTCCCTCCTCTCAACCGTCAATCAACAGGTGTGATTGAACAATACACAGTGTGTGTGTGTGTGTGTGTGTGTGTGTGTGTGTGTGTGTGTGTGTGTGTGTGTGTGTGTGTGTGTGTGTGTGTGTGTGTGTGTGTGTGTATGTGTGTGTTTGTGCGCGCGCGTGTGCATGTGTTTGTGTAACCAGAGTGTAGGGTGGTGGCCGTGCTGCAGCCTTGAGCCGCGTACCAGCAGCCAGGGTCGAGAGATATCCCCCACTCCTGATAACACTGCTACTCTTGCTGCTCCGCCGTTACTCATCTTTTACCAGGAGAATATTGTCCGTTCCTCCTCGTCCCCCGCCCGCTGGCCCACCTGGCTGGCCCTCGCTACCTACACTGTAAGACTAACATTTATACGACAAAGTGTCGGCCAAATTAAAGAGGTAAAGGGAGCAGTACTCGGCCAGCTATACTCACACACCGTCACCCTTAGTATTAAGTTTTAGTCTTAGTGTTTTTCCTGCCCCGAAACGCTCTGCGTAATAGTGGCTTCAGGCCTTGTGTGTACTAGCTCTATCTATAAATCCATCAATGTTTGTATCTCACCTTGTTGTATGTTTGTAATTTACCTGAATAAACATTTGATTTGATTTAATTTGATTTTGAAGGTTAAGGCGAAGAACTAATACACAAGTGGAGTGATGCAGCATCCTCCTCCTCCTCCTCCTCCTTCCCTGTAGCAATAAGTAAGGAACGGTTCTTTATGAGTAATGACAAAGATAGCAAGAGTACAATGTAGCGACGACTAGTATGGATAACCAATCACAGCCCAGGAGATAAGGATAGGGGGGGGGGGGGGGGGAGCGGCTATTAATTGAAAAAGTGCTGTTCCCGGCGAGTATGCCGGTCATTCATCTATGATTCTATGTCACGCGTAATGCACTTTGCAGTTTCAGAAAATTCGCGACTCGACTACACAATTTTCGACCCAATGGTAACCTGACTGTGGCCCTTGCAACATGGCCACACACCCGTATACAAGACTAAACAGCACAACATCTGGAGGTTAGTGTTGAGGGAACACGAGCGTGGGGAACAACACTCAGACACTACGGGCTCACCATAGCCCGTGCTACTTTGAACTTTTTGTTCCAAGTAGCGAATCTTAAACAACAACAACAACAACACTCTGGCAGCTGGTGAAGGGCGAGTTGCGCACCGGTCACGAATTGTCTCTATTTCCCTATATAAACTACAGAGGTGAGGGTGCAGGCGCCCGGAATATATAGAGAATACAACAGTGAAGGTCGTACTCGGCGGGGACCCTTGGGGGGTGAAGAGCCCTGAACGGCCGAGGAGACCCCACAAGGGCGCCATAGTGTCCATGTCTCCGCCCCGCCTTCCGCTGCTTATGGGACGTCAATGCATTGTTGCATTGCCACCTTCCTCACGCTGACGACTTTTGTTCGAACTACAACGCTGTAAATGCTTCACTCAGGTACTACAAATACCTCAACCCGTTCTCCAAAGACCCAAAAGTGATTCCATCCACCCGCCAAACCCACTGTTTATGAATGAAAAACGGTTTACACACGACTCACAACTGTTGACGTTCGAACACTTCCGGAACAAGTGCTTCACTGACGAATTTTATTCAAACCACAACGCTATAAATGCTTCACCCACGTACTACAAATACAAATAATCGCCAACAGAACCTTAACACCTAACTTAACATATGCTTATATATGCACAATATGCTAATATATCGTAATATTAATTTATATTTGAGAAAATTCCTGTTTTGAATGAACAGCATGTAAAATTGATGAATGCGTCTGTGGGGTTGACCGCTGGATGTAATGGACTTGGTCTAAGGACGGGTTGCCACTTAGCCGCAAGGCCTTGTGTACTCACCTAGATGTGCTTACAAAGTCGAGGTAGGCTCCTAACCCAACCTTCGGAACGTTTTAGATTAATGTAATGACTCATTTCTCACGGTTTTATCATATTTATCATATTTACATTTAACTCTTTGAATCGCATTATCTTCAATGACTTCTACGCCTGCCTGTTCCACTTACTGACAGCTCTGACACTGAAAACGTTGTCTCTGACGTCCATGTGACTTAATGCATCTCCAATTTCCATCTATTTCCCCTCGTTCTTCTGTTACTAGTTTTGAACAACGCTGCTTTGTCTACCTTAGAAATTTACTTTAGAATCTTATATGTCGTTATCATGTCTCCCTATCTCTCGCTTCCTCCAGTGTGGTAAGGTCCCTCAGTCTTTCCTTATAGCTTAAGCCCTTCAACACATGAACGAGTCTGACTGTTGTGGTCCAATTTTTTAACCAATTGTGCTATATAAGACAACTGATACATTAACTTGTTACAAAAATATGTACCAAGAAGGAAGGAAAGGTGAACTAACTCCATGGATGACGGGAGCAGTGAAAGAGAACAATACAGCAAAACCCAAACACTGGAAGAGGAACCAAGCCACCAGGAACCACACAGATTATGAGGTATATAGAACGGCATCAAATTCAGCTCCTCGGGAAATCAGATCAACCAAAACGAACAGTGAAAGAAAACTTGCTGAAAACATTAAGAAAGATCCAAAGTATTTTGATGCCTTCATAAGTAAAGCAAAGACCAAAAACTATGAGGGACCCTTGAAGATGATACTAATTAAGTTATATTCGATGTTTAAAAGGCAGTCACCACTCTAAGTTAATACTCTACATCGATGTTCACACACTCAAGAGAGTAGACAAAACACCAATATCCAGACACATGTGTGGAGCAGAGGAAGAGAAGGAGTTTGGGGATATTCCCATGACGTCCAAAACAACCAGGAAATGTCATTGATAAAGTAAAAAATTCCAACGCTCTAGGTGTTGATGAAACACAAGCCAAAGCTATAAAGGAACTGGCAGATGAACTGCCTCCCACTGAAACTTCTATTTAGAGAATCTCTGGACCAAGCAGTGGTTTCCTTAGGTTGGAAATATACAAATGTCACCCCTATCTTCAAGAAAAAAGGCAGAAAGAGCTCAGCAGAAAACTACGGACCTACCAGCTTGGCCTGACGCACATCTCCAGGCTCATGGAGGCACTTCTGAGGGACTCACTCGTCATCTCACAGCGAACTATCCAGTAAAATCAACGCAACAAGTTTTTTTCAAAATAAATCCTGCCTTACCAACCATCCTGCCTGCAACCAGGAGACCTGGTAGGAGAACGGGCCGTGGGACGTTGATACCTGAAATCAACGCAAGGTAACGCAAAATAACAAACTTTTGGAAACGGTAACCAGCTACTCAAACAAAGAACTTCTTGTACATATTGAATACATAGACTTTGCTAAAGCCTTTGATAAGACACCACATAAAAGACTGGCAAGGAAAGTACAAGAACATAGAACAAATGGAACAACAGAAGAATGGATAACGTAATCAACCTGTCGTACAAAGAACGTCGCTTTGCGACGGTCGAAGACCAAAAATTGTCGTACTAGAAAATGGAAGCGGCTGGCGAAAGTGACGTACTGTCCTGTTTTCTGTTTTGGGTCTTCGTGATACTGAAGTAAAATGAAAATGATGTTGAAGTTTTACAAAAAGATCTACATGATCTTCACAAATGGTCAGAAGACTGACAAATGCTTGTTACTGGCAGACCATGCATGTGGGGGGCATAACAACCCACGCCACAACTACCAAACTAACAACGTTACATTACAGCAGATTGATGAAGAAAAGACCTGGGAATCAAAATCGACCACTCACTGAAGGTTGCACAGCAGGTAGGGGCAGCACAGCAGGCAGGGGCAGCACAGCAGGTAGGGGCAGCACAGCAGGTAGGGGCAGCACAGCAGGCAGGGGCAGCACAGCAGGTAGGGGCAGCACAGCAAGTAGGGGCAGCACAGCAGGTAGGGGCAGCACAGCAGGTAGGGGCAGCACAGCAGGCAGGGGCAGCACAGCAGGTAGGGGCAGCACAGCAGGCAGGGGCAGCACAGCAAGTAGGGGCAGCACAGCAGGGAGGGGCAGCACAGCAGGTAGGGGCAGCACAGCAGGTAGGGGCAGCACAGCAGGTAGGGGCAGCACAGCAGGCAGGGGCAGCACAGCAGGTAGGGGCAGCACAGCAGGTAGGGGCAGCACAGCAGGTAGGGGCAGCACAGCAGGCAGGGGCAGCACAGCAGGTAGGGGCAGCACAGCAGGTAGGGGCAGCAGTCAAAAAAGCTAACCAAATCCTTGGAATAATCAAGCGTACTTTTGACTTTGGAAAAGAAGGTAGTGATTCAATTGTATAAATCTTCGGTGCTCTCCATTTGGTTTACTGTATCCAAGGACAGAGACCTCATCTTCAGAAGGACACAGCTGCTCTGGAGAAGGTACAGCACCAGGCAACAGAAGGTTGAACACCCGCCTGTGTTAGTGACGCTGTATGTGTTCGTGTAGAACACCTCCTGTGTTAGTGACGCTGCATGTGTTCGTGTAGAACACCTCCTGTGTTAGTGACGCTGCATGTGTTCGTGTAGAACACCTCCGGTGTTAGTGACGCTGCATGTGTTCGTGTAGAACACCTCCGGTGTTAGTGACGCTGGATATGTTCGTGTAGAACACCTCCGGTGTTAGTGACGCTGGATATGTTCGTGTAGAACACCTCCTGTGTTAGTGACGCTGCATGTGTTCGTGAAGAACACCTCCGGTGTTAGTGACGGTGGATATGTTCGTGTAGAACACCTCCTGTGTTAGTGACGCTGCATGTGTTCATGTAAAACACCCGCCTGTGTTAGTGACGCTGCATGTGTTCATGTAGAACACCCGCCTGTGTTAGTCACGCTGTATGTGTTCATATAGAACACCTCCTGTGTTAGTGACGCTGGATGTGTTCGTGAAGAACACCTCCTGTGTTAGTGACGCTGGATGTGTTCGTGAAGAACACCTCCTGTGTTAGTGACGTTGGATGTGTTCGTGAAGAACACCCGCCTGTGTTAGTGACGCTGCATGTATTCGTGAAGAACACCTCCTGTGTTAGTCAACCTCCTGTGAACAAAGTTTTCTTCCTATTGGGGAGTGTTGTACATGCTGCTATGGCGGTGTGTCCACTCACAGGATGAGTGGCGCTGCCCAATAAACTCGCCCCTCGGGGCAACATTTAAATCAACAAAACACTGGTAAAGACTTGAGCACCATGGTACCGGGGAGGGAGGGCGGAGGAAGATGTAACCACGTACATCACGCCCCGGACTGTACACTACTGCACTGTTTGTGTATGTATCCAGCCCCTCCATCACGTGTCTGGGCGCCTCACACTATATAACATCACCGACGGAGTGAGCAACGTTAGGTTGGTTGGACCGACCTGAGGGGAGCGGAGCGGCGTGGTGGTGGTCCTCGGGCGGTCTGTCGCACACTGATGCCACCACAGTGCCCACTTGTCTCCCAGACCCCCAACACCAGGCCCTACCTCCCCACTACCGGGGCACTGGCCCCACATCCCGCAGGCACCAGCCCCACACATGCTATGTCCAGTGTAGTGACCACTTGTGGCTTGGGTCAGTCATCTTATCCTTCACCTGCCTGATATACAGGTTCCCACGAGTCCTTGTGGCTCACTCACATCTACATACAGCAAGTACAGGACAACAAGAGCCATGCGTAATACAAGACAACTTGACTATAATCACCAATGATGAATTAAACAACATGAGTGATTCAAAAGCAGCACTGCAAAGCCTAAGTAAAAATCGGGCAGAAAATCTTGCGATAGTTGCTGAGATCAAGAGAGCTGTGAGGATACGAACCCAGCAGGGAAGAGTCATCAAGTTTCTGTGGATCCCCTCCCATGTTGGAATATGTGGGAATGAACGAGCAGATGTGCTGGCTACTGAAGGCGCTGAAGGAGACCTTATTGAATACTTCATACCCAAGACTCTTCAACAAATTAGAGGTATTGTCAGGCAACAGCACTGTGACAAGATAATTGAGGAAATTAGGAAAGAAGCACAAACCAGTGAATCTGTACGATGGTACAACATAGTTGCAGCTGGCAATCCCAGTCATTATGGACAAAGAGGAGGAGGACGCGGGAGAGAATCAGTAACAGCAAGAATCCGTCTTGGATACAAATATCCATGGAGATTCGGAATGGAAACAACAGTTGATCAGCGGAGTTGCAGAATCTGCAACTTCCTCTTGCTGCTTCTATGTTTGTTCAAGGGTCTTGAAGTGGGTAGAATGTAGTTGTGCATTAATTGGCTGTTGATTGCTGGTGTTAACTTTTCGATGTGTAGGGCCTCGCTGATGTCGAGTCTCCTGCTATCACTGTTGTTGTTGTTAAAGATTCGCTACCTGGAACAAAAGTTCCAAGTAACATGGGCTATGGTAAGCCCGTTGCTATCACTGTATTTATCGATGATTTCTGTGTTGCTTGTTAAGATTTCTCTGGTGATGGTCTGGTTGTGAGAAGAGATTATATGTCCCTCTATGGAGCCCTGTTGTTTGTGCATTGCTAATCGCCTAGAAAGAGGCGTTGTTGTCTTGCCTATATACTGAGCTCTTTGAGGCTTACAGTCCCCAAGTGGGCATGTGAAGGCATAGACGACGTTGGTTTCCTTCAGGGCGTTATGTTTGGTGTCTGGGGAGTTTTTCATGAGTAGGTTGGCCGTTTATTTTTTTTTTTATCTTTGTAGTAAATTTGTTGTCAGTTTACTATTCGTGTTCTGGCATATGCTCTGTCACCTCACCCAAACTTTTGTACACCCAAAAAAATAATATATTTTATTTAAAAGTCTACATACATACCCCCATGATACACGACACTGTGGAGGATTCCTCGGTCAACAATATACATTAAGTAACGCTACACTACGCAGAGCGTCTCTGACATAACGTGAGGATAATCAGGAGATTTATTTAAAGTTTAATGGTGTTATTGAGAAGTAAGTTAGGATTTATCAATTGTTAAAGAGGTTTAGCCAAGGATTTAACATTTTTAAGTTATATTTAGAAACTGGTGTTGTTTACAACAGTACCAATATAGTAATTAATGTTAACAATAACAATAAACACAGCACGACATGTAGGGTGAGGATATGTGAGTCAGTTTGGTTATGTAATATTAATTGTGTATTTTATTAATTTCTCTGTAAAACAGTCTTTAATCACATTAGGGAGATCATTCCACAGTTTAGGACCCTTGATATGTAAGGCATTTCTGCCTCGGTTAAGTGGCACTCTTGGATTATTAAGTAGAATAGATATGTATTCCTCCTTTGGTTCCCCTTGGGGTTCTCTTCGGGGTTCCCTTGGGGTTCCCTTGGCGGTTCCCTTGGGGTTCCCTTGGGGTTCCCTTGGGGTTCTGATACAGCCCTCGAGGAAGCGCTTAAGGTCAGGATTACCTCTGCAGTAGTTTTATAGATGTAGTCACTGCACACAATCACTTGAGATTGTGTGCAGTGACGATATTGAACATATTCAAGGAGTGTAATAAGATATCAGAGTGTTGTCTGGGACTTGAGTTTGTTATCGTTCTAACTGTTGATTTATGTTGAGTAATTAGGGGCAACGGTAATTAAGATTTGTTCATCCCCTCGGCACAGATACCGTAGGTGAGATATGAACAGATGAGTGAACAATACAGTTACCAAGACAGGGCGAGATCTCACCTCAATTGTGTTTCCCGGTAATTTGTTACATAAATCAACAACTCTATTTCCAAAGAATTATTTACCCAAGTCTTCCCTGAGTATAAGTGTATCCAATTTATTTATAATAAAAACTCCCAATGGCGGGGACAGGAAGCCACAGGACATAGGGTTATCGTGGCCCACTATGCCAGCAACTGACCGTTCTCAGGATGCAACCCCACAACAGCTGCCTAGCACTCCAGTACCTGTTTACTGTTAGGTGAACACAGGCATCTCTTGAAAGGAAACATACCCAACCGTTTCTGTCCCTGGAGTGTGGGGGGACAGAAATAAGTTGAGCACCTATTGTTTCGTGTTCTATTATGTGTTGATATATTTAACACCTATTTGTGTCCTTTTCTTATGGGTTATCAGCTCTATCCTTCAGTCATGTCACTCTCAGTCTTACACGTGCAGGTCAACTAAGCTTTCTCAACCTCTCTCAGTCTTACATGTGCAGGTCAACTAAGCTTTCTCAACCTCTCTCAGTCTTACATGTGCAGGTCAACTAAGCTTTCTCAACCTCTCTCAGTCTTACACGTGCAGGTCAACTAAGCTTTCTCAACCTCTCTCAGTCTTACATGTGCAGGTCAACTAAGCTTTCTCAACCTCTCTCAGTCTTACATGTGCAGGTCAACTAAGCTTTCTCAACCTCTCTCAGTCTTACACGTGCAGGTCAACTAAGCTTTCTCAACCTCTCTCAGTCTTTCACGTGCAGGTCAACTAAGCTTTCTCAACCTCTCTCAGTCTTACATGTGCAGGTCAACTAAGCTTTCTCAACCTCTCTCAGTCTTACATGTGCAGGTCAACTAAGCTTTCTCAACTTCTCTCAGTCTTACACGTGCAGGTCAACTAAGCTTTCTCAACCTCTCTCAGTCTTACACGTGCAGGTCAACTAAGCTTTCTCAACCTCTCTCAGTCTTACACGTGCAGGTCAACTAAGCTTTCTCAACCTCTCTCAGTCTTACACGTGCAGGTCAACTAAGCTTTCTCAACCTCTCTCAGTCTTACATGTGCAGGTCAACTAAGCTTTCTCAACCTCTCTCAGTCTTACATGTGCAGGTCAACTAAGCTTTCTCAACCTCTCTCAGTCTTACACATGCAGGTCAACTAAGCTTTCTCAACCTCTCTTCATATATAAAATCATTCTTTTCCTAGTATTAACTGTTTCTTTCTTCACTGCTCGCGGTCAGGTATATATATATATATATATATATATATATATATATATATATATATATATATATATATATATATATATATATATATATATATATATATATATATATATATATATATATTATTAAATATGACCGAAAAAATAAGATTAATAATTCTAACACGAATTTTCTCAATCTTTCGTACATTTCTTTTCACTGTTGGAGGTAAATCAAAAATCAATTCTCCAAAATTCATTTTTATTTCTAGTCTGACGCGACACGAGCGCGTTTCGTAAAACTTATTACATTTTCAAAGACTTGAGGTGGCATTAATAGGGTATTAATTTCATCAACACAAGACAGAACACGAAACAATGGGTATTGAATAGAAGTGTATGTAGAAAGCCTATTGGTCCATATTTCTTGATGCTTCTATATTGGAGCGGAGTCTTGAGGTGGGTAGAATATAGTTGTGCTTTAATTGGCTGTTGATTGCTGGTGTTGACTTCTTGATGTGTAGTGCCTCGCAAACGTCAAGCCGCCTGCTATCGCTGTATCTATCGATGATTTCTGTGTTGTTTACTAGGATTTCTCTGGCGATGGTTTGGTTGTGGGAAGAGATTATATGTTCCTTAATGGAGCCCTGTTGCTTATGCATCGTTAAACGCCTAGAAAGAGATGTTGTTGTCTTGCCTATATACGGGTTTTTTTGGAGCTTACAGTCCCCAAGAGGGCATTTGAAGGCATAGACGACGTTAATCTCTTTTAAAGCGTTCTGTTTTGTGAGGAAACTACTCCAAGCTTGTACTAAAGAGGCACCCTTCTTGAGCCCGGATGGGCACATGTATAAGCAAGTAGATGGGGTCGCCATGGGTTCTCCCCTAGGTGTCCTGTTTGCAAACTTCTACATGGGTACCATCGAGCAAAAAGTCTTAGTCGACATGAACTTGAAACCGGCCATATACTGCAGGTATGTTGACGACATTTTTACACAGGTACCTGATGTCAGACATCTGCAGGAGCTGAAGGAGGCATTTGAGCAGAGTTCCGTGCTGCGTTTCACTTACGAGATGGAAAAGGATGGGAAGCTGCCTTTTCTAGATGTAACAGTCATGGAAAAGAGCGGAGGTTTCCACACTGCAGTCTACACTAAGGAAACGAACATAGGAATGTGCCTAAATGCCAACAGCGACTGCCCAGACAGGTACAAGAGGAGTGTTGTTAACGCTTATGTCGACCGTGCTCTCAGCCACAGCTCAGAATGGAAGCAAGTCGACGAAGAACTCTGTAGGGTAAGGCAGGTCCTAGTCAACAACGGCTTCTCCAATGGTTTCGTCGAAGACATCATAAGAAGGAAAGTGAAACGCCATGCAACCTCTGAAGAGACAACTAACACAACACCTATACCCCTTATTAGACTATTTTACAGGAACTTCTTTTCCACAGCTCATAAAACAGAGGAAAGGGTCCTGAAAGATATTGTTAATTGAAACGTTATCCCTACAGACAAAAATCAGAGGATACAACTGACGATTTACTATAAAACCAGAAAAACGGCCAGCCTACTCATGAGAAACTCTCCAGACACAAAACAGAACGCTTTAAAAGAGACTAACGTCGTCTATGCCTTCAAATGCCCTCTTGGGGACTGTAAGCTCCAAAAAACCCAGTAT